ATTTTCCTTAATGTAGTTTCCTTTCCTGAATCATGAATATTTGACCTTATTTATATGGCCTGTAAAACCTAATTTACAAGTGTATTCTCTTGTTTATATTGATTTTTTTAAGAGGTTAATGTTTATCGATTAAACATATATAAAACTAAATAAAATTATTTTAATATTATAATATTTAAATAAAATATTATAAAAAATATAAAAGTATTTTTTTATTTTAAAAAATAAATTAGTTTATTTTTTTAATAATAATTTATAAGAAGTATTTTTCAGCTAACCTTTTGCAAGTTTAGTTGATAAATATTTTTTGTTTTTAACAATTTTATAATTATATAAGAGTAACAAAGTGTTTATTAATTGTACTTTTAAAAATTTTAAAAATATATTTTAAAATTATGTCATTTAATTAAATTCTTATTAACAGATATTAAAATTATTTGTTTTTAAAGAGGAATGAAATTGTTTTGCTCTTTTATGGTAATACTTTAATAAAATAATATAATTTTAAGATTTTTTTTCTTAATTTTTTATAGATATGACTAATAAACATTAATTTTTAACTATATTAGTCAAGAAAAAATATTAATTATTATGGTGCATTTTGCATTTAAAATGTAAAAAATGATAATGAAAATTTTTAAATATTTTTAATGAATCAATACATAAAAAAAAATTATTAAAGTACTTAAATAATTTTATATACAATTCTAACATTTAAAAAACCAAAACATCATAACTTTCATATTTTTTTTTCAAAATAATAAATATTCTTTGAAAGAAATTGGTGACAAATAAATGTTAGGTTGTTTGTGTTTTTATGGAGTGAGCACGAAGCATAGAAATGTGGCTTAGAGATGGCGGAAAGGCTACTGTGTCGTGTGGACTTACCAATGCCAAGGGTTAATGCTCGTACACAATAAAATAAAATATGTATATTATATATATATATATATATATATTTTTTAACCAGGTAGATGGTTAGAAAGTTAATAGAGTTAGTTTGTTAGCAGCTGGAATTTTTCCAGGATAGTGAACATTCCACCCCTCGTATGAGGCGCATGACCATTAGGTTACAAGTTGGTGGAGTTTACGGCGGTGACAGGACTCGAAGCCTAACCTCCGCCTCACTCAAGCGCTAAAACTTGGGACCAACCATTAGGCCTCAGCCCGGTTGATTTATGTTATATATTTTTTATTAATATATTTTATGGATATTTATATAGAAATTGGTAGGGGTTGTTAATTGACAAGAAGGCCATTGTACATTATTCAGAATTACAAAACGTTTGCCCATGGGGTAGGTTTTCTTTTTTCTTTTCTTTTTTTTTTTCCTTTTTATAAGGTAATGGGGTAGGTTTGGCTTCCTTCCTATTTCGGTTTTTTTCCTTTCTCAGTAAAAATAAGAGCATGTATATTAATTTTTTTCTATACTTAATTTAGTTGTTTATTTAAGAAAAACTACCATAACAATCTAAAGAGTAAAATTTTTTCTTATTTTAAAATATAAATATATATCAATAACATGTAAAGCGGGTTGAATAATACTAATAAGAGGAAACACAGGTGAGAAAAGGTCATTTTATTAACATATCTTAAAAAAATAAAAACGAAAGAGAAAATGATACAATCATATAAATTTTTTATAATAG